ATGTAAACATTAAGTATAAGGTAATCTTAACCATGAATATAAAAAAAATCACTGTAGATACTGATTATGGGCAGGAGGTTTTTGATAAGGGTAACTATGGCGAGAGGCAGTTTATCTGATTTTTCCTTTAGGTTTCTGGGCTTTTCACGTAACAGTTTTTAAGTAAAGGAGTTTTTTTACTCATCATGATTATCCAATATGTTATTTTCAATGTTTTTTCCCTTAGATATGTATATGTTTTTATGGCTTCATGGTACCTAATGAAATCTCATACTTTAAAAAAATAATGATACAAAATGTTTATTATTTTGGTGATAACTTTATGATAATATATGTAAGTGGGTTTATATTTTGTCATATTTTGATAATGAAATAGATATTTTATATATAAAAATACATTGCCAATACTATTTAACCAAAATCTTTTACTAGTCCCAACAAAGGTTGATTACTTAAAATTTTAACTTTTTCCTAGATTTATTATATTTTTCATAGATAGTTCATATCTAACATAACAAATATTCTTATTTTATTATATGATTAAATGTTTATAGTAATTAAGATGAACCCAATCAAAAACAAAGTTTAAAATTCTGGAATGTAATAAAAATATTTAAGGATCTAAATCTCGCCATTTAATTAGAACATAACTAAAGTAATTTTAAACCTTAACAAGCATGATATAATCTTATTTCAACAATTTAGCACTTTTTGATGGTTTTTAAAACTGAATTTGATTCACTGCCTATCCATGCTCAATCTCTAATTATCTGATGTTATATTAAATTGAAAAGTAAGAGGTTTCTAGGATATTACTAAAATTAATATATATATATATATATATATATTATATGGTTAGAGTTTAGGAAAAAATATATATATATGGTTAGAGTTTAGAATAAATAATTTAAAATTATGTTCACTATGCAAGAAGAGTGAACGTTTTATTTAGTATGTCATATTTATCTCACAAAATCAAATAGCTCACTCCAAACAAGGTTGACATTTTTAAAAATAATTTAAATAACAATTAAAATGTATTTGTGTATGATATTTAAGCAATAAGTCATCGAATATAAATTTATATTTTAGGCAATTTTATTTCTTTATCTCCTTTTGAATTCTGACATTTTATTTTAGAATATTTTTGGTAGAAATATGCATGACCTTTATTATAGGAACTATGGTGCTACAAAATAATTAGAAAATACGGTGCCACATTTTTCTAGAAATAGGTAGCATTTGCCTCAGGGTTGACTAGCCTGTCACCTATGGGGCTGCCTTGAGGTCAGGTGGCCAGTTTTAACAATATGGTACATGACACCTAACTATTGTATAGGGCATATGTATACTAACAAGTCAGTCCTTATTTACCTGAAATTCAAATGCAGCTGGCCATCCTGCTTTTTATCAGACAACCTTTCTGAGTTATTGCAGCCTGTATAGTCACGGTTTCTAACCTGCTATAGTGTGGGAGTGTTTTTCTCAAAACAGAAAACAGTGGTCAGCTTTTACTTCTCAGTGTGTCAGCATGTCAGCATCCACTGAGCCAGCGATTCCTGTTTTAAATCTGTTTGTTTTGACACATGAAGTGACTGTAGTACATTCGGGGAAATCAGATCAAGTATATGAAATAAACAGCCATACTTTTGCACACAGTTTCTAAGTTGTTTATGTTGCATGTTTTTTTTAATAAACATATAAATTATAAGTATTTTATTTAACAACCAAATAGATTTTCCATTTGTTTCCATGGCTTTATTACCTAAGCTTTTGTTTAAATTATTTTGAAATGTTATCCCTGTTTAAATAGGCTATTAGCAGTTAATAAATTTGATTCATGGCTATGTAGTTTTTAAATGAAGGTTTTACATATTTATTCTTGTTTTTTATCTTTCCATGACAGAATTCATGCTTGGTTTTCATACTAGTTAGTTAACTAGGAGTTGGTCTAATATTGCGATATGATGATGTCATTTGTTCCAAATAGATCTTTATATGCAACATTCCTATACTTATAAGAATAATCAATCCCATTCAGGAATCTTTCTTGCCTTCTGCTTTGAAAACTAATGTTACTTTCAACATTACAGGAAGTAAATAATTTGATCTCCTTATAATGTTGTTTTGAAGTAAAATACTTGAAATACAAGTATCTAAATGTCAGTAAATATTATCTGTTCCATAATTATCAAAGGAAAAAATAAAGACCAATTATAAGGAACAGATGGCTATCTTCTTAGAATCTTAAGATACTAACTTAAATAAAAGTATCTTTGTCATTATCAAAGTAACATATATTTACAATGAATTGTCTCCCAACAAAATTATAAGGGTACTCCTTTGCTATGTGAAATATATGATTTCAGTGGTTTTGGAACAAATCAGAGCTTAGTGGATTATGGTATAGAATCTCGGAAATTTTTTCTATGGCATTATAAATATCTAGAGCAATATATATTAAAGTTTCATTTCCTAAATATATGCCAAAGTAGGAGTGGAGCATCTACAAATTAATCCAGTCTCCAATTTTCATTTTAAGATACTAGGAGGCAAGGAGTTTATGTTTATCAAGGAAAACTTGGTATAGTGGCAAAAGTGTTCTAGAGAGGGCTACATCCAATTATTTATTTTTTCCCTTAGGGAAAAAAAATGTTAAGCTTCTAAAGCACAACCTAGAAATGTTTAGAATAGATCCCTTCAATATATAGAATTCTTTACAAGTGAAATATCATAACAGGTTTTGTAAACCAATAATTTAAGAGTTTAATATTTTTAGTGTTTAGGAAAGATATTGCCAATTCTTATGCCTCAATGGAAAAGTAATACACGATTACTGTGCCTTTGGAAATCTTACTCAAATCAATTCAGATAATGATAATCAAAATGTATTGTTTCATTAAAGGCATTGATACACTATCACTGGTTTTTGTGGTAGAGTTCAAAGCATTCTGAATTAACATAATTATTTAGAGAGAAATAATTTTAAACTGAACAAAATTGAGTTACTATAATTACACTATCCTGTTAAAAATATTGGTGGCAGTCTACATGGCCACAGTAATTCAGAGTAGATATTCCCTTTCGAACCAGTTGCAAATATCCCATTGCTTTTGTGAAAAGGTAGTTTTACAAACACACACACACACACACACACACACACACACACACACACACACACACACATAGAGAGATTTATAAGAACCTTTGGCTCTTCTCTTTAGAAGGAATTCCATGATGCTTCTGTCAGTTGTGATCTGCTTTTTCACAGGGAACAGAGAGCAGGTGTTTCTGACTTCTCCAAGGGGTAATGGGCTTAAACTCGTGCATGCCAGATTCGCCTTAGATGTAAAGAACGGTCCTGGTGTGAGGCTCATTAAAACGTGGACGAGCTCCGGAGTCCGTCACTGATCTCAGCCCTGATGTGTTTCACTGTAGTGGAGAGCCTCCGTTTGAAGGCCGTTCTTTCTTTCAGTTGCAGAAATAGATCATCTCACGAGCTTTATTTATTGCTTTAGCTTCTATAGTTTACACTGTCAAAAAGTATAAAGGCTCTTTTGCTTCCTGCTATGCAAGCATAGGAATATGAATATTCAAATTGTTAAATTGTCATCTCAGTATACTTTTCCAGGCTATTAAATAGGATATCAATATTAAAAATTGTACAATTGTTTTGCAACATACAGTATTTACAGAGTCATTCTCTTGTCATTCATCTGAATGCTTAAACGTTCCATAATTTAACATTATAGTTTACAAAGTGTTCTAGATATTATCAAAGGCATAAGAGGATTCCATAATATAAGGCAACACATGCATCATAAAACTTTCTTAAAAATTATATATAATGTTAGATGTATATGTAATATACACACTAAATATACACATAGATATGCTAAATTATAAGAAGGTATATATTTGAATATCTCTTTTCCACAAAGAATGATTTTTATCTGCAGTTCAGATAGTAAGATAAACATCTTAAATGTAGCGTTTATATGACTCACTTTGAGGAGTAAATGCAATGAATGAATAATCAGAGGTAAAAATGAATACTAACAGTCTCTTTCTTATTTCTTTGGATTTAACCAAAAAGAAAATCTTTCATCCACATCAAGTGACCAATTCCCCACATATGTTAATAGCTAGGGGGAATTGCATTTGTGAATTCTCCAAGTAGACTTTGTTAATTTGAAAACATATAGAATATATTAGAAAGCAGAGAGACTCAACATATTTGACCCACTCTTTGCAGCCTGAAATGCTTCAGCAAATGCAGTCATCGTAGCTAACACTGTAGAATAGCTGTCAGAGACATGAACTCTAAAATGTAATAACACTGATTTAAAAAAAATAATATTTGTGTGTTACTTGTCCATTATTAACTCATACAGTCCCAAAACAATAATGATTACTCAATATTCAAACTTACTCCTTAAAAACCTTGAAAGAAAATGTGTGTGAATATGACTTTAGTAATATTATCACATTTCATTTTCTCTAGTTTATCTGACAATACTTCATATTTGGCAAATCAGCTTCTGTAATGAAGAAAATCACCTTTCCCATTCTAATTTGTACTGACCTGTTTAAATTTAGACTTTATTAAATTACATATATAACAAGTTGTCCATAGATATTCTAGTATAAGAGCCACCTATTTTTTAATATTCTGATTGTGTGTGTGAATAGTGAAATGGGGGTTGATTTACACAGGATTTTAAAAAGTTAATCTCACGTAATTGGTGGCTGGTTTATAAACTATATATTCCCCATGCAAAACTAGTTTGTAAAATTGTTAAAACTGTCATCTGCAGAAAGCCCAACAATAGAAAAGACTAGAATCATTAGAAAACCAAGGTAACACTGAAATATTTTGACATGGGGGTGGGGGGTTGCCGATGGCGATACAAGTCATTCCATTGTACACTTAATGCTCAATTTTAAACACCCAAAGTCAGGCTCATTTTCTTAGAGTATTTTCTTTTTCTTTTTCACAGCACGGAAAAGGATATGCTAGTCAATTCTACAGGACTTCCCTGAAGCAGCATGATTTGCACAAAGTCGACCAACAAAAGCATCAACTTTTCAACTTCATTATCTTGGCCATCCAGTTAGTTGTGTGTAACTGAGTATTAGATTGCCTCCGCAGTCATCATGGCCAATCGTAGGACCTACTTGCTCTCAGCAGGCCTGAGAAATGAGTTGAAATGTGCAGAACTGTAGAAACTTTAGGCAACTGATTTTGCCTCTCCGATCAGTGTGTGCCTGTTTACAGCACTATATATCTTACTCTCTCCAAATGTCACTGAGCCCTTTAGATGTTTATATTCACCATGAGAAGCCAGTCATAAGGATAAAGGAAATTTGTGCATTATAAATGCAATATCACTGTTTTAAAGTTGACTGTTTTATATTATTTTTGTGTGATCAAGTGTTCCCCAAGCTATTCCAACTTTACAAGAAAGATTGTGATCATGTTCTTTTCACCTGTGGGTTACAAAAAAAAAAAAAAAATGTTGTATTCTGAAGACCCACAAATTATCAAAGACATTCTGTAGTTTATACACCGTGTTGCAAAGTGTTTACTGTACTATTTCAAAGCTTCTAAATAAATATAAAATATATATATTATATTATATAATTTTCCTAAAATGTGGTACAACTCAGTTGGTTTTTAAATGGATTCATACAGTCCACATCATACAATAAAGTAAAAAAAAAAAAAAAAGGGTAATTCAGGGTCCCAAAGATGAACTTACTAAGAAAAAAATAAGCATTAGTAGCTTCCTCCCGGTTTTCATCTTATTCAACCCTGTTTTTCCTTGTTTAAAAGAAAAAGAAGCTCTAAGCTACAAAAATTTTGTCTAGAACTTGTACTGAATTTTCAATGCCAAAGATATAGCTGTCGATGTTATCAGAGAAGCACTGAACATGTACTATCAAAATACCTAACAATCTACATTATTTCGATTCTATTTCTATGGCTTTGAATTTAGAATCATTTAAAACTTTTATAAAGACTCTATATATTCATCTGTATTGGTTGTTAGAAGAAAAACACTGGGTGTCTGTACATTTTGTGGTGTAAAATATGTTACTGAAGATTACTATTTTAAGAAGTCCTCAATCATAGAACTCACGCAGAATTTTATTTTACATAGTTTTGCATAGTTTTGTGACTTCAAATAACACATGCATATAAAATCTATTTATAACTCTATATGAACATATAGAGATATATAAATCTCTGAACTGGTAATGAATAGCTATAACATATAAAGAATCTCTAAATTTAAAGCAAATTTAATAAATTTGGAGATAGAAACATGGTACATTATTGTTTCAGTATTATCCTACGTGTGAAAATTTTATAGCTTAAGTGTAGTCAGTGTTGTATTAATGAGAAAATTCTTCATGTGTCAGCTTGAAAACTGAAGCTTGCCTTTTACTTTATGTCAAAAGGGTTAATTACTAAATTCAGTAGGATACATTTTGCCTCTATATATATATCACTTTCTTCTACTGTTTATTGCTTATTGAAATATAATTGAGAAAGAGAAAAATTAGAGGATGTGAGAAAATCTTCTAAACAGGGAACAGAATTTGTCACAGATTCTCATTAAACACACACACACACACACACACACACACACACACACACACACACACAACCTTCAGCATTATAACTAAAGCTTTGCCCAATCTAAATTACAGACCCACTTTGAAACATTTCCCTTAACTTTTAACTGATCTTATTTTCAATGGCAGTTTGAGCTATGCTATGTTATAAATGTTTTCCAACTCATTTTATGTCATTTAAATGGGAATAGTTTCATTAGATTTAACATTAAAAAGCATACATATGTTCATAGATCCTTGATGTGAAGAGTTGAGTGATATCTTAGTATCACTTATTTGTGTCATTGAATTAGATATTTATGTCAAAATCACAACCAGTTTATATAACAAAATAATGTGTGCATTATTCCAGTCTTTTGGGGACCCTTTAAAAATATAAAGTTATTTCATCATATATGACACAAAAAGCACATATATTCACTAAGTGCAGCAGTAAAAATTTATCAAAAATTTGGCATTACTACATTAATATTTGGAATGATGGACTATTATAGTAAGACTATGTTTCTATATAATTTAACTTTTAAAAGTGTGTTTGATATAATTGTTTTTTTAAGGAGAAAATGAATTTTTTTGTTGTTGTTGAACCACCTCGTTTTAATTAAAATTTTTCATTTATCATTTTACAATTATGGGGGGAAACCCAAATCTATCTGCCTTATTATGTGCATTGAAAATAAGGTTATACTCACTTTATATATAATGGCTATATAATTCATTTGACTTATTTTTTCTTTAATTATTTAGCCCTTTCTATCATTGTATGTAATCTCTTTTGAACTAGCTTTTTATATCTGATATTTGTGCATTAGTTTTTAAATATATCATATTAATCAGTAATACTAATTTTCATTTTATTATAATGCTACAGAAACAAAAACAACAAAACTTTTACCTAATTGTGAGACAAATAGAATTATTTAAACATGACATTCTAACTGACTAGGTTATTAATCAACTACTATATCCGGAATAAGTAAGAAATTACAACAGAATAAGGTATGATTTTAGTACATTTGGCTAAAATGTCACATATTAATGAAGGGGACTACTTAATAGAAAATGCAACCAACCAATAATTTAAGGTTTCCAAGTAAGCATTTCTTAGATTCACATGCAAAGAATTGTACAATAGTTTTCTATTAACTCTAGTCATCCTAATATCAAATTTTCATAATTTTATATATAATCACATAAACAACATTCAAATTATAACACAGTATTTCATCAATAATTTATTTCAGAAAAGAAAAGTATGATATTTACTCCTTGTTAACATAGTTTTAGAGTAGTAAAAAGTCAAAACATTTTCCTGTGGAAACAGTGTCTTAATGTTTCAATGGTATGTCAAATGACAACTTCTAGAAATATTTCAGCCACATGTAAAATCCTAATTTTTAACTGTGAATATAATTATATGAAATCATTTTAAGTCAAATACTTAAATATCACAATGGAATTACTTTACAGATACAGTGATGTCTGTTTCATTAAAAGTGAATCATCTCTTCGGGGAAGTGTTAAGGAAATATGTGTATTTTATTTTATGACGATATTAAATGCAATGCCTTTATCAAACATTGCAAATGAAGTAATAGAGAAGAGTTCAATATCTTAATTACTTGTTTTCCTGTTTTATTTCTCAGTAGTTTTATAACTTACTGTCAGATCTTTTATAATAGAAATATCCTCCCACTTCTCCAATAAGAAATTGAGAAAAAAACAAAACACCTTCAATAACTGCATCATATTGAACCTTTTTACCTTGCAAAAGTTACTTCCTGGAGTAAAGTTCATCCTTAATACAATTACTCAGTCCAAATTTTTCAAATGATACTAAGCAGGATATAAAAAATTATTTAAGTTACTGACTACAAATAACACAAATATTTGTCACTGCACGTGATTTTTCTCTCCCCTCATATATCTATGTTTCCTTTAATATCCGAGGAACTAAAAAAATACTTTAAACACTGGTATACTTGATGACTTCTCTGAAAATTTTATATAGTTCATATTGCAATTTCTTTACTTTTTTCAACTCCAATTTTGTAGTGATAAAGGCTTTGCACTTGACATCATGTTTATGTTCATTTTTAACAAGGAAAAACAGAAAATGGCAAAATCCCATATTTTTATTCCATGGAGTAGTCAAATTATTTTATATATTGTTAACACTTAAGGAATAGCCCTCTGCCAAGTCAAACAAAAACCTTAGACAGTAATTTGTGAAAGTACTGTTCAGTAGAGTATTTTTTTTTTAATTCTAAAAATTGGAGTAGATTTTAGAGGATAGCATTCTGTGAGAACGCAGGTAGATGGGTGCCGCTAGAGTATTGCAGGCAATAATATGACTTAAATCCTAATACCTTCGGTGTGCATGCATGTATTTCTAATCGCTGTTATTTTTAAGTATTTGTAAAGTTAGAAAACTGGCTTTTATTTCTTGAAAACTTGTCACATGCGTAGTTTGAAGTTTTACACTCCAGATGTTTTTGAGTTGCGTGAAAAGGCTGCATTAACGATGCAAAATGTTTTTAAATTTTCACATGAGACTCAAAAGCTTCTGAACGATGGAACGCAGACGTCCAATTCATCTATCCATCCTTGAGCTGAAAGTACGCAGGGAATTTCTGCTCTAAACACATTTTTGAGACAGTTATCTGTGAGTGAAAACAGGGTATTATAACAAAAGATGAGTTTAAATCTTAACTATAGTGTTTGTTACTGTGAATGCTATAATAATACATAAGTAAAATGAGTGTAAATGTAATATATTATTTTATACTGCTGTATACATATGAAATAAATAAAACTAGGATACATATTATACCAATTTTCCATGCATGGATCTTCCACTGACGTCGGTGGGATCTTAGAATAAAAATCAGTGGCAAAATATGCCCTAACGTTTAAAAACAACTTATGCTGATATAGTAACTTTAGTTTTAATAAACAGGTCTAAGGGGACATCTGTTCAAAACTGAGTCTCGTTTGAAGCAACATATGCTAGGTTTAAAGGATTCCACTATATTTATAGTTTCGAAAGTAGGCATTTAGTTCCATATGGTTCTCATGATACCCACAATGAATATTTTAAACATATATATCACACTTGATGCTATATTTTTTTAAAACTTTTTTTGACTTGTAGACAGAGCGTCTACAAGGATTAATGCAGAAGTTGTACCTAGAATATAAGTGCCTTCAAGAAATAAAGGGAACCGAGATCGGTTTAGCTCAGTGGTAGAGCATCGGTCTGCGGACTGAAAGATCCCAAGTTCGATTCCTGTCAAGGGCATATACATTGGTTGTGGGCATATCCCCGGTAGGGGGTGTGCAAGAGGCAACTGGTCGATGTTTCTCTCTCATCGACGTTTCTAGCTCTCTATCTCTCTCCCTTCCTCTCTGTAAAAAATCAATAAAATATTTAAAAAAAAAGAAATAAAGGGAAAAAAAACATTCTATCTAATATTTTAGAAACAAGTTATTTCATACTCAGTTGATGGGAACATAAAATATATATATATATATATATATATATATATATATGTATTATTTTCCTGAGAAAAAAAATATAAATTAAGGTATACTGTAGGTTTTTTAAATGTAAAAATAATTTGAATGAACTTATATTAATTTACATTCTGAAATAGCTTACAGGCAACAGAAGAAATATTGTGCTTTTCAATCCCACAAGTTGTTTGTAAAACTGACTTTCTTAAATTCAAGCTACACATATCTGGATAGAAGTTAACTTTATAAAGCAACAAAGGAGAGGACTAGATATTGCTCTTTCTTTGGACAACTAATACCAGTAAAGCTAACAGGAAGGTGGAAAATAACGATCAGATATAATAGTTCTCAATGACACATTAATGGTTATAATTATCAGTCGCTTCGGTTCCGCTGTAGATCTGTACCTCTTGCCCCTTACATTTACTCTTATTGGGAATCATCGTGAACTCTGCTAATTAACCAAGATTTTGAATTTTCAAAGGTACAATTAAATTTTATCAGATTACAAATGTATTAAAGTCCAACAGCGATGGGATGTAATAATGAATAATAATATCTTCCTTCAAGAAAATTCTAGTTTGCATTGGGAACTAAAGAAATTATAGAAAAATATTAAATGACACATTATAAAATAATTAAGTGATTAAAATTTCTGGTCAAACCCAACAGGAAGGTCATGAGGACAAATTAACTTCTCAAGAAAATAACATAAAATCAAAAGAAAAAATGTAGAATAAAATAGTCCTAAAACATAATTTATGGTGGAAGCAAATAAAGCTTTTTTCCAGATACATGTGTCAAATTAGTCACAACGTGAAATATATTTCTTATTGTGAATCCTTTCCCCTAATGTTTGAAAAGCACAGCACCATATTATCTCTATTTCAAATTAAACTTAATGCTGTGGAAAGACAGGAAAGATCTTTTCAAAATGTCACTTCTCTTCTGAATCTGAATCTTTACCTTTGTAAAATATGGAAAAGTGCACTTGTAGAATGCTTGTGGGAATTAGATGAACTGATTCCCATGAAATGCATAACACAATGCTAACACACAATAAGTGGTATATTATATTATTAATATTATTAGCCATGACTTTACCACTAGCCTTGGTTACCAGAAGTACAGGAAATGGTCTACAAATAGAAAAAAATATTTTTCAAAATTGCAGACTGCTTTCGAGTTTATGTAAGCAGTGCTGATCCGAAAATGATAGGATTGACATTGGTATGCACTGATCAGCTCAGTTCACCTTTGCTTCTCCACTTATTATTGGTGTGGAGTCCAGGAAATAAAACTCACAGTCACTGAGTTCTAGTCATCTCCCTCCTCTCCCCTCTTTCTCTACTATTGAAACATATACACATATGATTGCACTAGACATAGTGATCTGAATTTTTCCTTTGATCCCAATGTGCTTTCTGAATATCTTCCCATTCCCATGCAAATAAACATTAGTTGGAATCAGTGCATATTTGACAGAATCATATTTTTTTTTTTACATATGGCTTATTATAAAATTGAGTTTGGGCAGTATTCCATATTTGCTCAATAGAATTGAATTTTAAAAATGATTCTAATTTCAGAATTCTTGATGTTCCCATTTCTTAGCTCAGCAGATCAGACCTTGTTCTCTCGAGTCGTCCCTTCGGCTGATCAAAAATTTTAAATGTTTTTATCTTTTCTCTTTAATTAATTGCAAGTTTTATTTCTTTATCTCAAAGTCTGAATTTTAAATTCATTAGGTAAAATGAGTTAGTTCATATGAATTTGTGACTAAGTTAATGTTTCAGGGAGCATTTATATTTTAAAGGGCATTTATTAATTCATGTAAAATTTTCTATTGAGAATATTGGATGGGTAAAGATACTTTTTGTTTTATTTCTTTTTACTTCTGTCCTTTTTGAAAGCTGTTGGTAATCATTAGGTAACTCCTTAAACAATCTTCCTGGGAGTAAGGGGCATTTCATTAGCATTGCTATCCCCTGAACCAGAACACAATCACCAGCCCTTCCCTCCTCTTATCAGTGAGACTAACTCCTCTCCTAAAAATGACAAAGGGGAAAATCAATTGCTATTTGAATTGCTTATAAATGAAACTCTGAATTTTATTCTAAAATAGTTATCTTATTCTTAGTTGTTTCCTAATTAATAATGAAGTAAATAATCAATTTCAAAGTTTTCTGGTAATATGTTCTTTCAAAATTGATGAGAGAGTGAGAGAGAAAGAGAGATGATGAGATTGTGACAGATATTAATTAACACAAAAAAGAGTCATATGGAGAAATAATTGAAGGGAAAGAATAGTCTCATAGGTAAATAGATTCTGTGGCTTTCTATTAATTAGTGTTTAGAATATCGAAGTGCCTAGATGGAAGGTAATAATACTTGATCATCAACAAACTGGCTTGAGCTTTTCTACACTTAGATAATCAGTGATCAATTTCTTTTGAAATTGTGTGAAAACTATCCTCATTTATTACTGGGCTGCATAGACTACAGAGAGTAGTCTATAATTGCTATAATAAAATATTCCAAGTAAAGTCATATTTGAGTGAGGAATAAGAGAGAGAAAAGAATAAAATTACTATTTTCCTTCATACTTCAATAAGTTTTAAAAGACTGAGAAGCAGTTTTGATTTTTGAGGTCCATGAAGTCATAACCCTATGTAAGTTAAAGTAAGGAGAAAATTAATAAAAATAAAAGAAATTAGGTAATTCTAGTTGGAATATGAAGAATGAAGTAAATGATACATTATGTCCTAGAAAGGAGTGAAAAAGAAAAGAGATATGTGCATTTCACTTAAAAATATAGTAATACCAAACTCATTCATTGAGTGTCTTCACAGAAATTTGCTTTATTTGTAATATTTCTTTGATCAAGATATATGGATTCATATGCTAGTGTTTGCAAATATTCGTTTCAGTGATCTTAAGATAATGTATTTGGAATTATAGGGATCAGAAAGGTGGGGTGGGGGATTGGCAGTATCATTAACAGATCATGTGGAATTATCAATATCTGACATTAGCATAACATGTCATCACGCTAAATGACAAGGTCACAGTACTGTTATGATTGATGAAGGGCATTGTTACTGAAGTGGGAAGCAAGATCCTGATTGCAAATCAGTTACATGGAGTGAACAAGTTGTATTAGGTATTTTTAAAGTTTAGATATTAGCACAGTTTAAATGTAATATCTATTTTAACACTCTTTCTAGAAGAATCTTTTCCAGTGTTAGATATAACGATTAAAATGTGAAAATACATGTTGCAAATATTTATGCATTATCTAATATAGATTTAGTAAGATATCTCACAAACTTAAAAAATGAAAGAAGATAAATTGGTATAAGGAAAGATTCCAAGTTGCTATACATCTCTAGCTAGGTAGCAAAGGAGCACAATGAACTTACAGATTGGATTAGTAACAAAAGAGGAGGTGAGGCAGAATGGAGAGACATTTCAGAAGACAAATAGAATACACTTCCTCTCCCCAGGGGTAGGGAACCTTTTTATTGCCAAAGGCCATTTGGATTTGTATAATATCGTTTGAAGGTCGCACAAAAGTATCAACTTAAAAATTAGCCTGCTATCTTTGGTCAAACTTTTCACTAAGTCACCTCCAATGCCTTGGCTGGGCCTGACCAAATGATTCTGGAGGCTTCCCACAGGCCAGTGGGCCAGACATTCCCCACCCCTGTATTAGACTGAGGACAAAGACAGACAGAACCTACCATGACTGGGATTTTTGGTTTGTCTGAGTGGACCCTGTTGCCTTTAATAAGGCAACATAAAAAAAAAGGGAAAGTTTGTGAGGAAGGTAACTTTATTTGTAGAAGGTCTTGCTAATTTTCTCTTTATCACTCAAGTTTACTATGTTTGTTATCCAAGAGGGACATGAACTTCATTATACATATCTTAACATTTACAGAGAATTTTAGAATTTTTTTCTTATGTTAATTAAGAGTCTCTCCACTGTATTCCACTTTATTCTCTGTAATAATAGATGGTTATTACCATTTAATTTTTATTAATTATTTATTTGGAATTAATTTTATAAATATGTATTATGTAAATTATAAATATTTTAAAAGTGTTTTTTTTTCTCTTGTGAAACTTTCACTAGTCTATATGCCAAAATTGGTCTTCACCAATTTAAAAAGGACATATTAAGTCAAACTCTCTACCTTTTTTATGTGACACATACATGGTACTACATAATGACAAAGAGAAAGAAAGGTAAATAAAAATAATTAAAAGATATAAGTTGTAAAAAAAATTATTTACCTTCTCTTTCCAACTAAGTTTAAA